TTTTTAAAAAGAGAGTAAATACTCTTTGGATCCCTAACAAAAAAACACAATTCTCATTTTAGTCCTTTACAACAAAAAATTAGTCAATTGGTCATTATGAAATTCAAAGTGAACCTATTTTAGTCCTTTTGAGGGACTAATATGTGTCTTTTTTGAATTTGTAAGGATCACGATTTCAACTAAATGGGTCCATTTTGAATTTGTCAGGGACCTCAAGATTAATTTCTTTTTGTAAAGGACTAAAATGGTTACCGTGTTTTTTGTTAGGAACCAAAAAGAGTATTTATTCTAAAAAAGAAAAAGAAAAAAAGAAAAACTAATTTATTTTTTATTTTGTAAATTCGTTTTCTTAGCATGGAGAACAATCGAAGGAAAAAGAGCGAAAGCAAAGCAAAGCAGTGTCTCACTGTTCGTCATTCATTTCTCTCTCGTCCATAACACAAAACAACATGCCCTCAGCTCAGGATCCGTTTTACGTTGTCAAGGCTGAGATTCAAGGATCTGTAAGTTTTTTTTTTTTTTTCTCAAATTACCTAGGGTTTGCTTTCTGTCTAATTCGGATTAGAAATTTCAATTTTCCTGCAACAATTCATACGGTTTCATTAAAAATGCTGCAAATTTGAGTGAACGATTGTTATTAAGTTTTTTTTTTTGTTAAAATTTTATTTATTGGTCTAATTATTAATCGAGATTTTATTTCCTAATATTTTAGGTTATTAATCTGACTATGCTTTTTACTATATAAATTTGGGATTTTGAATAGAACTCAATTGCGATCTGTGACTCTGTAGTGTGTACACCGCAGTATTTCTTGTGGATGTATATGTAATTGGAGCAGAAAACACTTGAATTAAGTACTATATGTAAATTTTGGGTTTTGAGTAAAAATTGAAGTGGGATCTGTAATTGAAACATAGAATGCTAAAAAGACATGTGAACTGTTGAATTGTAATGGTGTTGGATTTGTTTTTGGAAGGATGAGGTTTTTCTTTTTCTTTTTCTTTTTCCCTCTCAATATAGGATGGTATATATTTAATTGTCTGACAGTTTGTCAATTTTTGCTAAGATTGATAAATTGCAATCTACTTTACACCAATGGGAATACACTTCGGATGCTGAAGAGCGAGTACATCTTACAAAGGAGGTTCTTGCTGGATGCGAAAGCATAGAGTGGCAGGTAGACTTATTGCTTGCTTATGCAGAATCAGTGACAAATTGGCTTATCTTTCAATGAGCTTTTTTATACTTTTTACATATTCTTGCCATCATCAGCATGAATTCAGAGTTGTTACACACAAATTGGTGGCGTTTGGTGCACTGACATCTGGGTTATTTCTAGGTGGGAGGGAATTTGAATGATTTGCACTTATGTTAACCCACCAAAATCCTTCAGTGCTTACTTTTCTAAGTTCCTCTCGTTCAGAGTATTTTAAAGGACAAAGAAACTAAGTTATTATAGTGCCCTTCAAAATTTCTTCTAAGTAGCATTGTTGGAATATAATTATAAATTTATTATGTTTGTAGAGCTAATTATTTAGGGGTAGGATATTGTAACAACCAATTAGGGTTACTACCAATGTTACTACCAATCAATTTCACCGTTAGATCAATTATGTTGATCTAACGATTATATTTATTTCCATCTTTGTATGGTTATAATTTCCCATATTTAATGCTTTCACATTAAATATGGGAAATTATAACCATACAAAGGTGAAAACAAATATAAAGTATTAAATATGGGGAATCATAAGTCATAACCATACAAAGATGGAAATAAATATAACCGTTGGATAAACATAATCAATCTAACGGTGAAATTGATTGGTAGTAACCCTAATTGGTTGTTACAATATCCTACCTCAATTATTTATAAATAATAAGTTTGTGAAAATGCATCATATTTAATTCATTATGTTTATTCAACTCTCATTTTCCTTCCCCATGTTTATTTGAAACATCTAGCCTTGGGAAAGGAAAATCATCATCCATCCTCCCATTCTCTTACCCTTAGCTTTGCCATCCAAATACCCACCATCCCCTTGGTGTGCTCTCTAGGGAAGGTGCAAAGTAAGGAATGGAGTTAAAATGGAGTTGGATGGAAAGATTTTAATTTTAACTTATCTTTGCTTGGTAAAGGGTGGAAAATGGATAGAAAGTCACTTTCAGCTTACTACTATGCTATACTAGAGTCCTATAATTGGGGGACTGGAGCAAAAATGAGTTGCACTTCACTTTGAACTGTTTATTGTTTCATAGTATTAAGCTAGTTTAGAGTAATTTTCAATTCAAAATTTCCACCTGCTCTGTATCAGCTCAACAAGCTTACACTAAGTCTATTAATAACCTAAGGCGTCTCCCATTACACATTAAAACGGGGCTAACGTTTGGAGTTAATCCTCTTTTTTGCGCAAAGTCTTTTGTACTGCAAACCTAACGTGTATATACAATGGCTGAAGTCTTATTTTTGGATAGAAAGGTCGATGAGTTGGACAAAGCAATCGCTGTGGCATCTAGAGATCCTTCTTGGTATGGCATTGATGAAATGGAGCTTGAAAGCCGGAGGAAATGGACAAGCAGTGCTCGTACTCAGGTATCCAAAATGTATGCTAAAGTTTAGTAAGTAGGGAAGGTACAATCATTTTTTTTTCAACTCAGTGCACAGTTGTTTTTTTATAATTATTTTGTTATTAGTATCATGCATAAAAGATTCTTTTGTTGCATTATTAGGTTGGCACAGTGAAGAAAGCAGTGGAAGCTGGAAAGGGCTCAAGTTCAACAAGCCATGCTAGTGCAAATGGGATGCACCGAGAACTAATGAGACTACCAAATTCCCATCAAAATGATACATCCAGGCAGTATGCTGCCCATGATAATGATGATTTCATACAATCAGAATCAGATAGACAGATGCTTCTTATAAAGTACCTTTTTCCTCTCTCTCTCTCTCTCTCTCTCTCTCTCTCTCATGCATATGGAACTGGATTTTGCATTTATCTTTTGTTCTACTATGGCATAACATTACTCATCTTAATTTACTTTTGCACATCTTCATGAGATTAAGCTCTAATCATGGTTGCTTTTCTGCATATTAGACGGAAAAGACTGTCTTCGTTGTTTGGTTGGCCTTAAGTGAATTCAATTGTATTGCCCACTCCTCCCTTGTGCTTTCTGAGACAGAAGTGAGATCCTTTCTATATGCATGAACTTGTGCAAAAATACACATATTTCTTGTGCTACTCCTTTTTGTTGAATAAACTATGTTAAATTTAAGTGATTACATTGTGTCTGTATGTGACTGCATGTCTAGTATCATCGTTTCATTTACTACTTGTAAATTTTTGTTTTAAGAAAGTTTTCTCATTATCATTTTTGCTAATTATTTGAGAGATGTTTGGATTTACTCATTACTTATTAAGAGCTCATGACTGAAATGGTTGATTTCCTTTTTCTTTCTTGTGTAAAAAAAGGGAATAAAGTCAATAGTAAGTAACCTTAAGAAAGGTAAAAACATGAAATACACTGCTCGAGAGTTTAGAAAACCTTCTGCTCATGCTTATCCTTTCTGGAAATACAATCTGCCTCTGGTTGCTATTTTATTTTTGATTTGTATTATGTATGTCTATTGGGGTTGATAGGAAACAGGATGAGGAGTTGGATGAGCTTACTGTAAGTGTGCAAAGAATTGGGGGTGTTGGACTTACAATACATGAAGAACTCCTTGGACAGGTAATGGTTTTAGAGGTTTTACGTTGTATGATTCTTGCTATATTGCTCCGAGACATAGACGACTAGGTATTACTTATGTCTTTATGTGTTTCCTTCTATTTTCTTGAATAAAAGTAGTATTGTTATGCCTCTGAAACTTTAAAATAATTTTATTTCTTTCAGAAATTTCTGATTCTAAAACTGTCAAAATCTTAATGCTTCAGGAAAGGATTATAGATGATTTGGGTGCTGAGATGGAAAGTACATCGAATCGTCTAGATTTTGTCCAAGTGAGTTTCTGCATCTAGTTTTCATTTTCTCATTCAAATTGAAGTGGTAAGATTTTGTCTTCTGATTTATGTAATAACAACAATTTTCACTCTAAGATTGCTGTTGTTAATTAATAATAAAGGAAAAATTGGTAATTTTGATAGTGATACTAACTCTTGAAGAGGTTAAATGTTGCTCTTTTATTATGCTTGCAGAAGAAAGTGGCAATGGTTATGAAGAAGGCTGGTGCGAAGGGTCAAATCATGATGATATTGGGTTTGTTGGCTCTGTTCGTTTTCCTCTTTATCTTAGTATTCTTCACCTAGTCATTGAGATGGGACCAGGCTTTGCGCGGTATGTACATGAAAAGAGGTCTCATTTTTTGTGGAGATGCAAGATTAATGGAAATGCATATGTCCATTAACTAAATGGAAGCCAGATTGTTGGTTTCTTAAAGGCAGTAGAAAATTCTGATTGTGATGAAAAAGGGAAGCAATGTACTTCAAGATTTATAATAGGATTTTGATTCTGGACAAATTGGATTATATAAATGATGTTAGTGCTTTTCGTTGTTTGTACCATTTTAATGTTAATTTTTTGTTTGGCATTGCTTTGTAAATATTGGCACATTCACTTAAATAATGAAGGACACAGTCACACAGCATAGTCTTGCAGTGGATTTAATGAAACAGTTTGTTAAAATATACTCCGTTGACAAACTTAATGGTATCGAGATATAATTATGTAAAAATGCATCATTTATCAATTTAAAGTATTTTTTTTTAATATCCTTTACTTAATTCCTTTTATAAATGTTTAGTGTGAGTATTTTTATTTTTTTGTTATTTTCTGTTGGGTACAAATAATGTGAGTATTTTTTTTTCTTATTATATATATATATATATATATATATATATATATATATATATATATATGGGTTTGCTTTTTCTGCATTCACTGCAGATAAGTTATCTGCAGTAAGCCCAATACGACGTCATTTTGAGACAGAAATTATGGTGTTTTTGTAATTTTAATTTATTTCAGAGTTATAATAGTCTTTATATTTATAATTTTTTAAGATTTTAATATCAAAACGACGTTGTTTTGGAAATAAATGCAGATAATTTATCTGCATTAACTGCAGAAATTTTTTTTCATATATATATATATATATATATATATATTCATTTAACAAGAAAAAATAAAGTCTCAAAGAACAGGCCCGAGAACCCCCCCCCCCCCCCCCCCCCCCCTAAATATTGCAATTTTTAACTTTATTTCTCATATTATTGCCCTTTTAACTTTAATGTCAAGTAAGTTTCATTTTAAAGTGAGCAAGTAAGAATGTATTCACTATTAATTTGTTTTAAAGTACATCATAATCTTGATCAGCTAAAATTAAAGAATGAATATATTTTTATTAAGTTACTCTAAAAGGATTTTTTCTATTTCACAACACTTAATGTTGGTAAGTTGGTTTGAATAAACACTCTTTTTTCTTTTTTTTTGTAAATAGGTTCGAATAAACTTACTGCCAGGTATTTACTTCTATTAATAATAATGTTGTTATTCTGAAAAGTATTCTCAACATTATATTTCTTTGTTTTTTATTTATAATTAGGCATGAGGTTTCATAGATATAGACTTTTTTAACTATTTTATTTTAATATTTCTAATATTTTAATTGTTAATATAATTTAAGTATATATCAATTGAGTTTCAGTTAAATTGGTATAAAATTGTTTACCAAAAAAATTTTTTGTTATAAAATTAAATATTCATTAACTTTAATTTTATAGTTATAAATTATATTATTATTTTGATTTTTTTGCAGCCTTGTAGTTGTAGCCTTGTCGTTCTTCATCTATGATGCACGGACACGAGACACGAGACACGACATGACACCCTGACATGTTAATTCTAAAAAATGTTAAATTTTGACACGTTGGGACACGTTTTGATATTAAATAATATTTTTAATATGTATAATATAATTTACATTTAATACATATAACAACTCATAATAACTCATATACTAATCAAATATACAAATTTCATAACATAATTATTAAAAAAAAAAATAGAACATCCCAAGAGTGTAGAGTATAGAAAAATAAAAAAATTATTTCAGTTATGATAACACACAGATCAATTACATATATTCTTTAAGAAAAACTTTTGATTAAAAATTAATTAAAATAAAAATAAAATAAGGGAACATATATTTACTAAATTTTAATGTCACCTAGCTTTCTTAATTGCAGAAGAGAGAGGGAGGGTATTATTGTCTTTCTGCGAATGGATACAGGACCAACTTTATAAAGTTGTCTTCCTCCTCGGTACCCTTCTCTCTCTATCTTCAACTTCCCAAACCAGAACCAGCAGCCGACGACGGAAATAAACCAGCGTTCAAACGATAGTGGTACATAAACCAGCGTTCAATAAACCAGTGGTCAATATAATTAGATTCAGCTTACAAGTACACCACGTCCTGTGCATTCTACGGTTTTTAATTATAATTTTATTTTATTTAAAAAAAATAAATCAAAAAGTGTCCCAAAACGTGTCCACATCGTTGACTGCGTGTCGAATTTAGTCAAATTTGCATGTCCCACTAGTCAACATGTCCCCAAATGTTAACTACGTATCGGACGTGTGTCCGAACTTGTCGGAACGTGTCCGACACGCAAATATTTAAAAAACTTCGTGTCTGTGCTTTAGAGTTCTTCATTTTGGCTCTTATTTCGGATCTTTGCCAATTGATTCCATCTTTTCCAAATACGTATGCCTTAGATTTTTTATTCTTTATTTTCAAATTTCAGGTCTTCCTTCTCTTTTTTTTGCTTAAGTTAATGTTGAAATGCTTGAGCACCTTCGTTGAAGAATATACCATAAGCAATAATGGAGCCAGCATTTTTTAGGAGCTAAATTATATATATATATATATATATATATATGTGTGTGTGTTAAAATACTAAATTAAAAATATATAATTAAATAAAAATACTAACAATACATAAATCATGTTATATAAATTACAATTCCATATAAAATAATATAATATATAAATACTATTATTTATCATCATATAAATACTATTGATTTTCATGTTAATTAGATAATATCAACATATATTTTTCTTAATTAAGTACGTAAACTATCATAAAAATTAATTTTACTTTTTTATTAAATTTTTAAATACTACAACATTATATATGACAATAGTGTAGTTTATAATAATATAATTAAAATTATATAACTAAAACGTAACTGAAGTATACTTAAAAAAAACATAGTATATGTCAACTATTAAAATATTGAAATTGTCAAACAAAATAAAATATAAAAGGTAAATAAAACAATTAAGAATTATTATGTACGAAAACAAATTAAAATTAAAAAAATTACTACAAGGCGATTTTTGAACGTTAAAAAAAAGTATTTTAGGAATTAAAGTTGAAGGTAAGATGACTTGAAAAATAACTTTGTGTAATTTTATATCTTAACCGTTGATTTTTGTCAATCAATGGTTATAATTTATTACGAATTTTAATTAATTAATAAATTTGACCCAATAAATTATAACCGTTAATTAATGAAAATCAACGGTTAAGATCTAAAGTAATACAGTTATATCCTTTAAACGACAAACGTTATATATATATACGATTATGATCATTTTACATCAGTGTAAGTTACACTATTATTCTTGTTCGTTGAACCCACGTCTATCTAAGGGCTCTAATTTTTTAGTAATGTGAGCCATTGGATACAAGTGGATCAATTGTCAAGATTAGGTGTAAGACTTCTAACTCTTACATTGGTGTAAGAATATCTTGCCATATATATATATATATATATAGGGTTTTATAATTCTCATTTAACATAAGAATTCAAATTTTCCTACACACTCTTCGATTTCCGTGCTGACATGGTCCTACATATAATTTTTTTCTAACACATGGGTCCCACATGCTTTTTATCTCTACAACATGAGAATTGAATTCTCATTTAACATGAGAATTGAATTCTCATTTAACATGAGAAAATCAAACCCCATATATATATATATATATATATATATATATATATATATATATATAGGGAAAAATATTTCTCAAGTAGCTTGAAATAAGTTTATCTCTGGCTACCCCAAAACTATGTCGTTTTATTTATTTATTTCCTTATATTAATTGATTCACCTTTAAATGGTTATGATTCACTTTTTCTCTCTGTTCCTTTATTACCATTGATTCATCTTTGCACGGTTATGATTTAGTAGCCGGAGATAAAATTATCTCAAGCAGTTTTGAGAAACGATAAGCCCATATATATATGTTGGACAAGTGGCCTCAAACTCAAGAGAGGGGGGGTGAATTGAGTTTTAAAAATATTTTCGAAAAGTGCCTCACTTTCTTTCTTGAAATCGATTTTCTTAGAATAATATAAATTGACACAAGCAAAGTTGAGAGACTAGAAGTTAACACAAGCCAATGGTATGTAAAGAGAAGAGATAAAAGGTTCAAGTGATCAAATAATGCTAATATAAAGAGATGAAGAGTTAGAGAGATTGCAAACACTATATATCCTGGTTCGGTCACCACCACTGTGACCTACGTCCAGATTGAACTCGCCCGTTCAACTTTCCACTAAAATATCAAGCTTCAAGGGTGCTCGACAAACCACTACAACCTTCAAGAATATCGATTCTTGAAACCTTTACACTTCCACTCACTTACTTAGGTTATGAGCAACCTTTCTCACTAGGGTCTCACTACCCTTAACACAAATGAACAGATTGAGAGTATTTAGAAGGGGATATGTACTCTTGAAGTACAGATTATACAAGTTGAAGCTTATAGGTATTTATCAATGACACAAGATTAGAGCTCAAAGGTGATTTATGATCAATATGATAGAAAGTAAGCAAATGATATGAAATAGAGCAAGAATAATGATTAGGAAAAGTGTCCCATCAATATTAATAGTGATCACTACTTATAGTGGCCCCCCATGACCCTTTGAACACACATTTTCGCAAAACTAGCCGTTTATAGCCGTTGTACTGCTTACTGACCAGTAAGTATTCGAATACTATTCGTGAGGTATTCGAATACTTCAACTGGTATTCGAATACTTTGTTCTCAGCATAAGTATTCGAATACAGAAAATGGAGTATTCGAATACTTTCTTTAATTATGCAGTTTTATGAGTTGTAAAGTGTTCCCTTTGGTCTCTAATCACTTTCAATGTATTTCCTTGACTTTAACAAAATGTTTTGAAGTTTATTAAAACATGTCAAGGATATTTTTCATAACAATTAATGCTTTCAAGTGATAGATGATATGGATATTACATGCATAGAGTTAAGTACCCTTTGAGCTCTTTTATGCATCATTTATCAATTACCTTTACATTTAGATCTAGGCTCTCAAGAGCATGAATCAATGATGATCTTGTGTGTTGACTGATTTGCTCTTGTTGACTTGTTTGAATTGCTTCCTTGGGCTTTTGATTGTTGCGAGTTGTATTATCCTTAACATCGCTTCTATGCTTGTTTGTTATCATCAAAACTCTTGTATGATTGAATTCTTCATATTAAGCGCATTGGTTTCACAATATATATATATATATATATATATATATATATATAT